CGATGAACGTTGTCGTGTCGGTCGTGGCGACGGCCGAGGTGAGCTTTGCAGCGACGCGCGACGATGTGTGGGAAGACCTGCTGCACAGTGGTGCGGCTGCAGTGTGCAATGAGATCATAACGCGGTGTGTTTAGGTTGGCTCGAGCTTGGCGCGCTGCACTGCTGCCTCTCGAGCATCGAGAGTGGCTGCGATTACATCTTTGACGTTTACGAGTGGCGTCTACTGCAGTTTGGTCCTCAGCACGACAGGACATGGGCTGCGTTCGTCATGTGGGCCTTCTTTTCATCCCGAGACAAAGATCGTCATGAGCCCAGTCGACTGCAAAAGCTGCGGGATGGCGTGGCGCGAATGCCAGCAGCTATGCCGGACTGGCCTCAAACGGTGTGCGCAAGCTGCCGCCGATCCATTCGCGGCGCGGCGTTTTTCAAGTCGTGCGATGTTCCATTCACATATTTGTACTGCCACCGCTGTGCCTCACCACTCGACTAGCCGTTGCGTAGCCTAGATCGAGAGAGCCATCAATAAGAGACGGGAAATAAGAGAGGCGCGATATGCTGCTGCTATGTGTGGAGCTGAGAAGGCGAGGGGGAGCTGAACAAAGTGAGAGACGAAGCTTCCTTGTTGAACGCATCGTAGCACTTTGGTTGATGTGCTCGTGTGGATTGGAGTGAGGCGACAAGACATACATGTGCACTCGGGACTGCGATGACTTTGGTCAACCGTTATGAAGCATTGTTGATCCCTGTTCTCGTCAAAATGATCGAAAGCAGCGATCCTTTGGTCCTTCTCTCGAGTGCGTGCACTGAGGTTGTAGCAAAGCGTTGCGCTGTTGCTGAATGGACGACCTCGGTCACGGATGAAAGCGCAAGGGCCTATCGATGCGAGCCTCTTTGGTGGTACTGAGGGCTCCTTGTACGCGTGTGCTCGTGCCACTTGCGACGCTAGTGCCTTCGAGTACAAACTTGCTACAGACTTCGAATTGTACATCTGCGGCAATCTCACCCATAGTCGACTTGTGTATCCAAAAAGCCGCGTTCAACTGCGTTGGCGGGGGCTGCTCATTGTTGTTCACTAGTTCAAGCAATTCCGCTCATGGGTTTCAGGTGCAACCCATGCACGCTCGTGCGATGCGTCAAGGTCAGAAGCCCTTGTCCTCAGCCGCCTTGCCAGCATATGAGGCACAGCATCATCGACGACATTTGTCCAGCTTGAAGGAATGTGTAGAGCATGATTCATCGTTGCGTTGTCAAGTGCTGCTAAGCAGATTTTGAGTGAAGGGCGTATACAAACGAGTGGGTTGCTGTGTTTGAATCCCAGCGGACCGACCCTCAGCTGAACGCGTCGTTGTTGCCCTAGAAATGACCATCAAACCGATGTACCAGAACAAGGAGCCCCATGCCCTCTAGCTCACCGTAGGGACGAGCATTCGCTTCTGATCAAGCGCCGTGAGTGTGTTGCGGCGCCTCGGGATGCTCCAGGCAATGATGTAATTGCCGCGCTTGCGAGGACTTTCTCTGAGTCGGTTCTTACGCCGATCGCTCTTCGTTTCATATAGTCCGTCAAAACTAGCATGTCGAAAGACGCCGGCAGTGGCCAGGCGATGACCTGTTCTCTGTGATTGAGTGAAGCGGGGCGCAGCGGTCCGTCGTCGTGTCTTTCTCGCTGCCATTGTAGACGCATATCTCTCGCTTTATTGACAGAAACATTGACCATATCCGAAAATACCAAACGAAACGGGTCCCATGGATACTGCAATTGTATCAATGAGCCAGGTACACACGGAAGAAGCGCTGTGCGAATGCAAGTTATGTCGTGGCCACGAGGATGTCTGCAGTTTGATACCCGATGCACGTCCAATACGTCTCTCCTTAACGGATTGGCAAGGCCGTGCAGGAAGCATACTATATGCGAGCCAAGCGCAAGAAGCCCGAAATACTGTACAGTAGACTGACGCAGGTGAGTAGCGAGGTAGAGTGGTTTATCAAGAGATTTGAGAGTAGCACCCAGCGCGACGTGTCCGCTGCGCCGAGAGGAGCAAGCTGTGCAAAAGAACACGGTCTGGTCGGAGAGTTACGAGTCGCAGCCGGCCTCGCAAATCGAGCACCGATGCCGGTTTGGACGTGGTCCGCATCTATGAAAGCGGTACAATTGGCTGGAGCGTTCCAACAAAACTCCACACACTGTCGCGACCGATGACGTGCCACAGGATAGACACCGAGAGACCTTTCGATAGCAACCAACTACGTAGGAGGTGCTACCGCCGCAATTCTCCTATTCAAGTACAATTGATCGATTTCTGTGGTCCGCATGCATTTGTCGCGCGCTGTCGCAACCGTTAATAATGGAACACGACGTAGAATAGAAGATTGGTTGTGATTGCGACAGGCAAGTTAGAGCGTGCTAGAGAGGCCCAAAGCCTCGTTCGGCAAGCGGTACATGAGCACGGCGTCGCCGGCCAGCGACGTTGTCGCGCACGGCATGCACGTGAGGTACGTCCAGCCACCCCAGCGCCGCGACGCAACGGCTGCTTGGCCCATGGGTGCGCCGCAGTAGACGCAGTACCGACCACCCCACGGCACCATCCCATCGTTGCACTCCGTCGCGAGAAACTGGTGCAGCGACGAGCGGCCGGGAAAGGTCGCTGCCGAGCTCGTCACGTAGACGTAGTAGAGAGCGTAGAAGGAGGCACTTGTCGCCGTGTGAACGCTTCCGAGCAGCGTCTTGCGAGCGCGATACGCTCGGTGCAGCGACTCGACCGCGA